GCGTCCGTCCCGGCAGAGCCGCGCGGAGCCACCCGGGCGGACACGGATCCCGGAGCGCAGCGAAGCCCCCAGACGAGGACGCGGCGCCCCAGCCAGACCCAGGGAAACGGGGGGAGCTCCAGCTCGTCCCTTCCCCAGCGCAGCGAGGGGGTCACTGCCGGCAGCCACCCCGGCCACAGCGCTCGGGTTTTGCTGGGCCATGGGCAGCTCCTCTGCAATCCCCATCACTCCAAACGCCCATCCCGCAGGGCCTCTCCTAGCTCACTGTGCTGCTTCGTCGGTCAGATTTCTAAATCTCTGCCCAAATGCAAGTTTGAGACCATCCAAAGTCAGTTCAGAAGGTCTCCGAGTGCTCACAAGTGACCATTTCTTGTCCAAAGTCTTCTCCAAGTCCATGGATGTTACACACTTCCAAAAAGGGACCTTCTGTTGGCAGGAAGAGTATCAGCAGAGGGATGAACGCAGCTTTTATACTGCAACATAACGTGCACAAATAACCAAGAACCATCAGCCACCATTAAGCTGTTGGAAGGAAGAGCTACAGCCCATCAGAAACATGTTTGATCCTTTGATGAGTAAAAAAGAAACGTCAGACAGGATCCTCCATGGAGGTTTTCCCGATAACTGTCCCCGGCACCTTGTCCCCTGCCTGCGGGTTGCGGATCCCGACGCCGCGCTCCGACAGCGCAGCCCTAATCTCCAGCTAAGCCGTTAAGCGGCATTACGGCCCGGCGGGGAGCGCTGCATCCAGCGCCCTCCCAAGCCCTGCAAACAGCAGGATGCCAGAGGCTCCAGTTGAGGAAGCTGCATTCAACCCATTCAAGCCAAGATGACCTTCCCCGGATTCTCCCTGGCTCCTGGCGCTCCTTCCAGGCATCTCCTCCATCAGGACGACCGTCCCTCCCCGGCTCGGCCTCGACCTCCGCGCGCTGCTCCCGCCCGCGGGGCGAACAAAGGGCAAATCTCGCAAGCTCCGTTCCGAGGAACGGGCTGGAGCCCGTCCAGACCCCCGCGGAGCACGCGGAGAGCGTTTGGAGACGGGACAGAACACAGCTTGTTCTGCTCCCTGCCAAAGCTGCAGGAACGCACGGGGCTGGCTGCGGCTCCGCGGTTCATCCCGGGTCAGCGCACAGGCCTTGGCGTTCGGGCAGCTCCGAGTCGGCCTCGGCTGGATCCAACGTGCGGCTGGAGAGCTCCGTGCCGGCCGCTCACTCGCGTGACAGAAGCCTGAGCATTTGCCAAGGGCCCCTTCCTAGGGAAGGGCAGCCCAGAAACCAGATGCTGGTAGCCCAAAAGAAAAGAGAAAGAAAGCAGGACAAAATAGGGGGGAGCATAAATCGAAGTAGGGATCTGCAAGAAGCAGCCTGGCTAGAGAGCAGGCTGGAATTAAACCAGCACTGCAGAAAGCAGCTCAAGAGCTAATCCTCATCCGCCAGGACCGCAGCCCTTGCCCTGCAGCTCCCCAGCGGAGGGGAGGTTCTTCCCAGGACCATCCGTATTGGGAACCAGGGGTCATCCTGCCAGGCAAGGAGCACGGGCCGTGTGTCCCCGACAGCCGCGGTGGGAAGGACGCGCCTGGAACGCGGCCCCCATCCCGCTCCGTAGCCGTCGGACGAGCGCGGCCCTCGCTCTGCCCTGTGCTTTTGCACTCGGGAGATTGCAGGTGGCTTCCTGACAACTCCCCAAATGGGGCCATGAGAAGGGCTCATAAAAGGACTTTTTTTTTATATATAGCACACTGGACGGGGCTTTCCTGACGCACATCCCGCTTTGTTCCGCCCAGGAAGGCGCGATCGCACTCTGTGCGCAGCCTCGTTCCGGGAGCGAAGGCCCACGAGCATCTTCACCGGAGGCTTTGGAAGAGCG